TTGGAATGATTCCAGGATTCTTTTTTTTTTTGGTACTAGGGATCACACTCAGGACCTTGCACTTGCCAGACAGGAGCGTATTCTACTGAACTATCTTCCTTCCCCCCTCAGTCTTTTTTATTGTTGGTTTGTTTGTTTTTCTGAGACAGGGTCTCATTAAGTAGCTAAATTGACCAGACTGGACTTGAACTTGTGATTCTCTTGTTTCAGCCTCCCAGAGTCCTGGAATTATAGGTATGTGCCTTCATGCCTAATGATAGTAGCTTTCTTTATCGATTCTTCAGGAATTCCCATGGAGAGTCATGTTTGTGGCACTGTTTCTGTGTCTCTTCCATCTTTGTATCTTCTGTTCCTTTTCCTAAACTAGCTAAGACCTTCCATACACACAACACAACATTGGTAGGTGTGGTTATACTTGCCTTCTCATGTTATAAAGGAAAGCATTCAATCTTTCATCATTAAATATAAAGCTAGATATAATTTTATAGATGTTCTTGATCGGATTGAGGTAATTATTTTTTGTGGTCTGATGAAATTTTTACAATAACTTTAATTTCATGAATGTTTTTTCTATACCTATTAAGATTTAACTTTTCCTCCTTTATTCTGGATAAATTACCCTTACTGTCATACGTGGCTTCCAAAACCACTTATTCGTGTGAAGCTAAATGTCAAAGTCTAAAACACTCAGAACCGTGTTCCAAAGAAACAGGTCTTTTATTCTTTTTTGTTTGCTTAATCCCCAAGTACTAGAAATACTGTTGGAAGAAACTATGTGCCCAGGCCAAGCTCAGTAGAGAAGAAACTCCCTGGATCATTCATTTTTACACAAGGGGAACTCTTCTCAAAGAAATGATACTTGTCCCAATCCAGGGAATGGGTAAGATTTTGTAATAAGAAAATGATCTTCCCTTTCCATGTTTGGTGCTGATGTGCAAGTTGGGGAAGGAGCTAATTCCAGACACCACAGTGGCTTACACTAAAAAGCCCCCTCAGTTCAGCCACCTCAGTTCACGGTGTCTTGTGCCCTGTGAGGAGGGGTACCATGAGGAGGAGTGTGGGCTGCACGCTTAAGGGAGAGAACACAGGATGCCTCGATGAGTAAGGAGCTAAGACACTGGGACCACACCTGCAGGAGTGCTGCGGCCTGGATCTGGAACACCCCCACGTGCGCTCACCTTCCAGCTTGCCGCTGTCGGAGGGTGGTGGGGTCTTTAAAAGTTGGAGCCAGTTTGAAAGACCTCAGAATTAGGGGTGTGCCCCTGAAGGAGACTGAGGGAAGTCGGTCTCTTGTGATCTCTTTCCCTCTCTTCTTCGTTCCTCAGCACCATGAGAGCAACAAGTAGCTTCCTGCATCACATGCTCCCACTATGACATCCCCCGTCTCCACACGTCCAACAGCAACAGGGCCCACCAGCCACAGAACAGGTGGTGGATTGCTAACTGGTGGTCAGCTTGTTACACCCAGCTGAAGTGAACCAGCATGGTGCTGGGTGTGGGAGGCCCACCTGAGAATAGTTGGCAGCAGTGTAAGAGGCAGAACTGGAGAAGAAGAGAGGCTGTTAGGGAAGCTGTTGGGAGAAGCTGCTGGAGCTGTTGGCTCTCTTGGGCAGTTCTCCTGGGGGACCTTGTCATGCTGGCTTTCCTGACGACCTTGACTGTTCTTGCCGGAGGAGGAGCGCAGCACCTTTGTTGTTGCTGAGAATGCCTGCAGTTCATTTTGGCCTCATCTTGCATCCTGGCTCCAGCAGGGAAGATGGTGCACTGCTCAGCCTCTTGGAGAAGCTTGGGACATTCATGTCCTGATGGGAACTCAGCTCTCTTCATCACCAGAGGAGCCTGGGACCTCACCATTGCTGAGGACGGCTGGGGTACTGTTGGAGGGGCGTTCTGGTCCTTCCTGGCTCCACTGTAGATCCCTCAGCCTGCTGGCACAGATCCTTGATCCTGCTTGCACAGACTTTACAGCTTCCACCACCTACCTTTGGGTCTTTCCAGTGCAAATCCATGAAACAGGCCTGCGTGAGACATTGTCATGGGCTCCAGGCCTCTAAGTGGAGTTATGGGAGGCATTGTCACGAGCTCTAGGTCTTCGGCTGGACTCATGCAGGACATTGCAGTGGGATCCAGGCCCTCAGCTGGATTCTTTGCTCTTTAATGTGTGCACAAATTTCCTGCACTCTTTGTATGACTCTTTGGTAGTTCATTATGAAATAATCTTATAAAATGTATCCTGTATTGTATTGTTCATCTTGCAAGACCCCAAACCATGACAGAATGAGACCTCCATATGTGTGAGCTACAATAAACTTTTCCCCTCTTTAAGTTGATTATGTCAGGTATTTCATTAGAATAATGCACACCTAACACGAGTTGCACAGAGGTATTACAAGCACAGTAAGCGTAACACTGAAGAGAAAGATTTTGAGACCTGAATCACCCCTGAGATCGGCCATCTGATCAAGCTTAGTCAACACCAGGTGCTTTCCTTTGGCGTGCAACCCTCATCACGGGCCGCAAGGACCCCTCCTCTCGAGACATTAAGTGGAGATTTACTGCCAAGTTACCATGGGAGTATATAAGACACAGCAAAAGAAAAAGAGGAGAAAATATAAATTCAGAACTTGTTATCAAAGAGAATATGACCTCTTTCTCTAACCCACACTGGGAAAGCAAAATGAGTCAGTACACACCTGCAGCCTTTCCTATCCAGATCTGCTTCACTTTTTTTTTTTTTCCTTGTCTGAACTGCAGTTCTCAAGGCCAGATTATATGCCACCTTTTTTTCCCCCCACAACAAAATGGTCTTTTATTTATACTTTTGCAAAGTTAGTAACATGTAACAAGGTTACCTGGTGACCAATAGCTGACCTTAACCAGACAGGAATGGGTGGTGGATTGTTAACTGGTGGTCAACTTGTTACACCCAGCTGAAGTGAACCAGCATGGTGCTGGGTGTGGGAGGCCCCCCTGAGAATAGTTGGCAGCAGTGTAAGAGACAGAACTGGAGGAGAGTCTGTTGGGGAAGCTGTTGGGAGCTGCTGGCTCTCTTGGGCAGTTCTCCTGGGGGACCTTGTCATGCTGGCTTTCCTGACAACCTTGGCTGTTCGTATTGGAGGAGGAGCGCAGGACCTCAGGACTGAGGTAGCTTGTTTGCTTTAGGCCCCGAGGCCTGCTCCCCTGAACACACATTTAATCAATTTCCTAGCTTCCATGGCTCCCAATATATCCCTGCTTTCTGCAAAAGTGGATAGAACTACTCAAATGCACATAATGTTCTCTATGTTTGTTTGTTTGTTTGTTTAAACTGGGAAGAAAAGTATGTATTTAGAATTAGCCAGCTGGGCTCAGTTTAGATGATCTCCATTTTGTTGGCAACATCCAGTGCATCATAATTGGGAGCCAGTTGAACATATGCCTTCTTCTCTCCATCAGGCCTGATTAGGGTACTGATCTTGGCAGCATCAACGTCATACAGCTTCTTTACAGCTTGTTTGATTTGGTGCTTATTGGCTTGGACATCCACAATGAACACAAGTGTGTTGCTGTCCTCGATCTTTTTCACGGCTGCCTCTGTGGTCAGGGGGAACTTGATGATGGCATGGTGGTCAAGCTTGTTTCTCCTGGGGGCGCTCTTCCAAGGGTATCTGGGCTGCCTCCAGAGCCACAGTGTCTTGGGACGGTGGAAGGTGGATGACATTTGTATCTTCTTCTTTTTGTGGCTGTGGATACCTTTCAGCTCGGCCTTCTTGGCCTTCAAAGCTATTGCTTTGGCTGCAGCTTTGGGAGGGACAGGGCCTTCCTTCTTTGCCTTTGGTGCCATCTTGGTAAAAAGGCCTCTCTATATTGAAGTTGAAAATTGCTATGAACTTTTCTACTACTAATAAAAATACCCACAATAGCTATTGAATCAAAGATGATGCCATTGTATACCACATTGTAAGCAGGCTTTTTGTGTGTGTGTGTGTGTGTGTGTGGCTGGCTTAGCCCACCTTAGAGGGCAGGGCTGGTGTGGCATGTGGTGCCAGGGATTGAACTGCAGTCCCTGTGCTTGCCTAAGCAGGCACTTTAGTCTGCTGAGCTATGTCACCAGCCTGTATATCACATTGATTGCTCATCATTATCTGCCTAGGTATGTTATAAGTACAGCTGATGCCATCCTGATTGTAATTTATCTTTCCCCACCCTATGCATGTTCCCTATTTTTAGCTACTAGTTTTAGTCTCATTTTCTGGCTCTGTTTCTGTTTTCCATCTATCAGATCTTTCCAGCCAAGTATAAGCACTGCCCCCACCTACAGTCTTAAAAAATCATGTTGGCTATGTTGTCACTGGGGTGTGGGTGGTACCTGAATGAACCAAGTCAGAGAAGTTAGGGTATGAGCTTAGGAGCAAACTAAAGCATCAGCTCACTGAGAGAAATGAATCCAGTGGTCTGGTATTATGGTAGGAAGACTCAGGCCTCGAATGCTGCTGGCTAATATGCAAACAGGAGCAAGGTCCAGAGTGTCTTTACGCTGGGAAGAGGCAGCGCACTGGCAAGTCCCAAAAGAAAGACACACTCCACCAGGTAGAGGTGAAGAGAGGGCAGATCAGGGAGTTGGAGGAGGGTGACAACTGGCACAAGCTACCTAGCCACGGGGAACACAGCATCTTGGTCTGCTTCCTGTTGCTACAACAATGCAAGAGTGAAGGTAACAAGTGAAGGAAATGGCTTTCTCATATTTCTGGAGGTTAGGAAGCCCAGTGTCGAGGGCTTTCGTGTGTGTCATCCACAATAGAAATGGGACTCGTGCTGGTTGATTGATTGTGCCAGTTTGAGTAAGAAACACCCGACTAGATTGGCTTGGCATAGCTCCGGATGTGGAGAGCCAACCAGCAGAGGACTGCTACCAGGAGGGCAGAAAAGGGAAGCAAAACATGAGAAAGCTGCTTCTGTTGTTTTACAGGAGATTCTGCTGGGACTTCACCTTCACTCTGGACTGGGTGTCCTGGTTCCAGCACGGGCCCACAGCCTTCATCGCAGCCCCTTTGACTTCCTGATGTGGACTCACATTGAGCTCCAGGACTTCACCTGGATCCTTGGGACCCCCAGTGCACAGATGGCCCTTTTGCAGCCCTCCACACCTGCCTCTGTGGGCCGCCATTGTGAACCAGTCTTGTAGGTGATCTACTGGGATAGCGTGTAGTAAACCTGTTTCTCTAGTAAGCACTGGATGATGTAGGAAAAGCGAGAGCGCCTGGGCACCAAGCGAGCCCGAGGGGCCAAGTCCACGCTCACAATAACTGAGCTGCTCCCCCAGTACAGCCTCTGGCGCGAAGGCAGACCCTCACACCTCACTGCCTCTCCTCACCTCCCAACACAGCGGTGCTGGGACTGAGCTGCCAACACATGGACTTCAGGGGACACACTCAAGCTATAGCTAGCAACTGGCATCTGTGAGGATTTAGTTGTTAAGGAAGTGAAGCCACGCCTCCAAACCTAGTGAGGCCTACTTTTTTGTGCGCTGATTCTCAGGGTATCTATGCTGTTCTAGACGTTTCCTGAAGATCTCCTTCTGGGTTCTCAGCAATCTGTATCCACATATGCACAAAGGGAAGGTGCATGCATGTGATTTCCTTTCTTTATAGTACTTAAGATAATGATAGTGATTAATATCTTTTGGTATGAAAGTAATTAATATTGTCCATTCAAAATTATCTCCATGGGGAATTATGTGTTCAATTAAGCAATAGGATTATTTGGGATTGGGGCCTGGCTCCGCCCACCCTGGGGGCAGGGCTAGTGTGGCACGTGGTGCCAGGAATTGAACCACAGCCTCTGCGCACTTGCCTATGCTTGTCTAAGCTTACATAAACAGGACCTTTTGGCCCCTGAGCTATCTCACCAGCCCCAAGTAATACTATTATTGTTAGAACTATTTTGAAATTTCTGTAATAGAGTTGTCCACAGAGATTTGTTGGGTTTTGCTTTAATTGTAAAGGGTTTTTTTCTGTATTTAGGGCAAGGTCTACAGGGTCTAACTACGTAGATCAGACTCGTAATTATTCTCCTGTTTTCAGCCTCCCAAGTGCTGGGATTACTGGTGCGCACCACCACCCCAGTCTCAATTGCCATCTCAGTGCACCCCAGAGGTGGGGCCGGCACAGCATGCGGGGAATTGAACCTGGCCGCTGCACTCTGTTGAAGCAGGTGCTTTAGTCTGCTGAGCTATCAGGCCGGGCCCCTGTAAACTTTTTACTTAATCAAAATTTTTATATTTTTGAAATAAATCTCAAATTATTAAGGTTAAAGTCTAGAGGGAAATGAAGGATGATCAAAATGTGTGATCCAGGGCTGGGGATGTGGCTCAGCAGCTAAGTGCCTACCTAGCAAGCGTAAGGCCCTAAGCTCAATTCCTGGTATGAAAATGAAAATAGTAAAAGAAAAGGAAAAAAAAAAACAAAAACCACCAAGTGATCCACTTTTGTTCAAAAATGAAGGTGTGGGGCCGGGGAGATGGCTCAGTAGAATAAGCACTTTCCTGGCAAGCGCAAGGCCCTGAGTTCAATCCCCGGTTCTGCAAAAGAAAAAAAAAAAAAAGATTTTGGTGTGCTCAGCATGGCTGATGCAGGCCTGCGGTCCCATTTGAGGCCGAAGTCATTGGGTAAGTCGGAGCCTAGCCTGGGCCACAGGCTAGGTGGAAGGTCAGGGTGAGCTCTGGAGCTTTTTTGCTTTTTTTTTTTTTTTGGTGGAACCGGGGATTGAACTCAGATCCTTGCGTTTGCCAGTCAAACGCTTATCCTACTGAGCCATCTCCCTGGCCTCAACAGATTTTTAAGATTGTGACTACAAAGCATTTGATAACAAAGCCAAACAAATTCAGGAGGAAGATAACAAAAGAGTAAAAAGCATATACTTCCACTAGTTCCAGATTTGTGTATTGTCCCTGGCTAAATCACTTCTCATTGTAAGTAGCCACGCAGGGCAGTGAGTGCATGGGAAATACGTCTTGCAGCTGGGAGTCTAGTGGTAGGGCACTCGCCTAGCATGCCCAAGGCCTTAAGTTTGAAACCAGAACCACTACCAAAAAAAGAGGTGTGCGTTGGAGTCAAGAAAATCCAAAATCAGCTCCTACTCTCACCACTTGCTCCTTGAGTAATGATGTACAAATGCACATCCTTAAAATGGAAATAATGTTTGCATCCAGTTCCTAGAATTCTCTGGAAGAATTAATGTGTGTTACCGCACACCTAGATACATTCCATGGACCAACCATGTCTACCTTCAGTGAATGAATTCAGTTTACGAGGAACTTGGTCTCTGTCTTTCATTTTCATTGCACCCCCCAGAAGCAAGCAGAAGACTCCTTCACACCCTACGCGTATAGCAGGCAAAGCCAGGGAAATGAACTTCCTTTCTCCAGTAGAATGCTTTTCTTCTCAGATATTGCTATGACAGCTTGTCCAAACTCATTTACATTGGGCTCACATGTTGGAATTCCGATAGATACATGTGAAAACAATGCTCTCATTACCAAAATTGCCGTCAGAGAAACTCAGCACTTTAAAATTGGATACCATATACTTCCACTCTTACAAAGGGCTTTTCCCCAGCTTCGTGAGCCCTGGGGAAAATGTTGCTGAGTCTTCCGCCTCCCCACTTCTCTCTCATCCTTCTACTTCCAAATTTCTGTTGTTTTTTTAATTACTTACCTTTCTCTGCAGTATTAGGGATTAAACCCAGGGCCTTCACACTAAGCTACACCGCCAGCCCTCTCTGCTTTTATTTTGAGATAGGGACTCCCTAAGTGGCACAGGCTACGCTTGAACTTACCATCTTCCTGCGCCGACCTTCCAGAATGCTAGGACTACAAGGTATGGAAAACACTATGCTGGCTTTTGTTTCTGGTTTTTGGTGGTTTTTTTTTTTTCGAGGGCTTGAGCCCAGAGCTTCAAGCATGTTAACTAAGTTCTCTACCACAGCAAATTTCTGTTAATTTCAAGTGCATAAAAGTCTGTTTCATTTTTTAGCTATAAATGTCTTTTCTGATATACACTTATTTTCCCAATAGTATATGTCACTTCTCAGCTATTGCTATGACAGCTTTTATCAAACTCATTTACATTTGGCTTACATACTGGAATTCTGGATACTTCATTTGAAAACAGTGTTCCCATTACCAAAAGTGGTGGGAGGGGGCTTTTCAAAATCAGCTCTATACATCTAAGAGGCAGAGAATATGCATTAAGTTTACCTGCAAAGGGGCTGGCGAGATGGCTCAGTGGTCTAAAGCACCTACTTAGAACAAGCTTAGCAAAGCACAGGGACTGCGGTTCAATCCCCCAGCACCACATGCCGGCCAGCCCCGCCCCCTGGTGGGCTGAGCTGGTCACACACACACACACACACACACAAATAAGTAAATAAGTTTACCCACAAAACCATATAGGTAAGTTCAAAGTTTCCTTGGGAATGTCACCTCATGCTGATGTGGCCCTCAATTCCATTTTATTTGGTTATATACTATGTGAAAAAATTAGCAAAAGACTGGAGAAGAAAGTCAAGGATACTGGCATATTTTTGTGGTAGCTAACAAAATATGGCATCAAATTAAATTTCTCTAAAGCAGAAGAAGTCTCTAATTGCCTCGGGGGCTGTGAAATCAGAGATAAGGCGTTTTTAGAGCAGTGGAAGAGCCGAGCGGGCAACTACTTCAGGCCCGCCCCCGGGGATGGCAGACGGAGCCATCCCCTGATTATTAGCCTCACTGAGCCTGATGTCGCATTTGTAGGACTCCAAGGGCCTTGTACAGCCTGTGACATCATGGCTGGGATGATGTCGCTATCAGGACAGGCACCATCGAGCTGGAGGCGTCGTGCAGTGGTAGAGTGTCTGTCCAGCGTGCATGAGGCCTGGCTCAAGCCCCAGGGCTGTGATACACACGTGGGTCCAGTGTGCATGACCCAAGGGACCCTCACAGGTGACATGAAGGAAGAGCTATGAGCACTGGCATCTCGGAGAGTTTTAAGTGACTTTACTCTCCTTGGTATAAATTGACTCACCTATAAAAAGAGGTGTGCTTCCAGAGGACGCTTATAGAGGTGGGACGTATTTATGGAGGTAGAACAGGAGGGCAGTTGTAGCCAAACTCATTAAGCTTAACCATTAGGTATGTATAGCATTTGTCTATGCTGGAGATCAAACCTAAGGCCCCACACATGCCAGCCCTCCAGCCCTATATGTCTTTTTATGACATAACTTTAATACTTTTTAATATTGACAATAGTATTTCAATTCGTCAATTATATTTCAGTAAAGTAGCTTACTTCTTGAGGGTGCTTTCTTCTCTCAGAGGGCTGGTTTGAGGATTGAAAATGCAGTAATGTACCCACGATGTCCCTTGCATGTCTGGAGTACTGTAATAAGCGCAAAAGGAAGGCTAGTCTCCCCCGCCCCCAGCTTCCTCAGTCACACCAGCGGGCTGCTAGATTCAAGGTCCGATGATGTCAGCTAGGAGCAAACGAACAAGCACCAAGAGCTGAGTGACCCGAAACACATGGGGGTTTAGTTGGCCCATTCTGTGAGGATTAAGGCACGCGTAGTCCTTCCTTAACAGTGGCAGCTGTCAGGCAAGTGCGGAGGAATGCCGAGTAGTTTGGCCCCGAGTTCTCAATCAAGGCAGGCGCACACAAGGCCAAGATTGTTTCCAGACCGAATATCCTTCTAAAAAAAATCTCCCAACTCATTCCCACAGAGCAGGTTCAGTCTTCTTCTCATTCCCAGGTCAGTCTTAGCCTTGTCCAGATGTGCTCAGATGACTCCAACTCCACATCTGGCTGCTGACCTCCCCCACATCTGTCACCCACATTTTGATGGCCGGGCTGTTGCTTGTCTTCCTGTCTCATCTCCTGCCCTACTGACCTGGTTTTTCTTTCCCCTGATTTCCTCGTTACTGGTTCACACTGTTTTGCCACCTGGTACCTCTAGAAGCCAAAAATCACTGTGGCTACCGGGCACCTACCAGCTGACTCCAAAGCCATGCCCATGTCATCCAATCTGCCCTTTAGCCACAGCTGGATGATCCAAGGGGATAGGGTGTGGACCCATCTGGTTGTTTTCTGAGAACTTTGAGGATTTAATCAGAGACAAAAAATGCAAGGACCAGAGTCATTTCTGTC